CACACACACACACACACACACACACACACACACACACACACACACACACACACACACACACACACACACACACATATACACATATAAATGCTTTATGCTGAGTTCTGTGCAGTCAGTAAGTAAAGCCGTACTGATGTGAAAGGTATTTATGGAAGCTTGTTTCCGCCATGGGATTAAAAAAAAAGTTAAAAAGTTAATTGCAACTTTTTAATCTCACAATTCAGACATTTTTCTCGCAACTCTGAGTTTATATCTCACAATTCTGACCTGTTCACAATTTAGAGAAAAAAGTCAGTTTTGAGATATAAAGTCAAAACTGTAAGAAAAAGTCAGAATTCTGAGTTTATATTTAATTGTGAGTGTTTGTCTCAGAATTCTGACCTTAAAAAAATCTGTTGTTTTATTTTTTATTCAATGGTAGAAACAAGCTTTCATAGGTTTAAGCTGTCAAATTAAAAAAAATTAAAATTAGTAGTGCTAGTGTAAGAATTCAATGGTAGCACATAACAAACCTGCAAGATCTGTGCTGTTTCTTAATCAGTATTTTTTTTTTTACAGTACAAATACCTAAACATCCCTAAAACAAGACCAGGTTATTCGAGAAGCAAAAATGCATGATATTAACACTTTTTTGGCAAGCTGAGGTTTTTTTTCTCCTTGTTTTAAGCATAAATCAAACAACATTTAGTGAGATCTATGTTTAAAACAATAATTCAAAAATAAAATTGAATAAAGCATTTCTTTATGTTTTCAGTGGAGAAGTGTGAGATAAATTTATTGAGAATTGTGATAGCTATGTTTAAAACAATAATTAAAAAATAGAACAACAAATAAATACATTTAAAATATATAGAACAAGACTATATTTCAGTGAGGTTAGAAAAATCAAAAATCTAAATATGTTCACGTCACAAATCTTGACAATATCTTACACAGTTTGCTTCGCAAGAAAATTGTAATGTTTATCGAGAAGCAAAAATGCATGATATTTAGACTTTACTTTTGTATTTTGGGGGCAAATGTTGTTGTTTTTTCTTGTTTTAAGTGTAAATCGCAAAAAAATTGTGAGATTCGTTTAAAACAATAATTATAAAATAAAACCATAAATAAATTTAAAATGAAACTATTAGAAAAATAAACATAATTAAGTATATATACGCATATATTATACAACTTTGCCTCTCAAGGAAGAAGAATCATATTTTAAGGATGTTTATATATTTTTTCCTGGAAGACAAGACAGATATATTTATCTCTGTATGTTTTTAGTGGAGAAGGGGGCTATTACTTGACAGATGATAATATGGGCGAGAAAACTAGTAACCACCCAGAACACCCTAGAAACCACATAGCAACACCTTGTCAACCGCTCACGACACGGACGGCAGTGTGTTTGCATGGACTCATATGTAAAGATGTTCTGCATTGAGCACTATTAAAGCATCCAGATGATTAGTGTTGTGAAATAGATTTGAAATAGATCTCAAGTTTCATACGAGTTGATTCATCTGCAGTGGAAGCAAATTATGAATTGCGAGAGAAATCAATCAGGTGTAAGTGACTCCATTAGCGAGTGTTAACAGCAGAAATGATGATGCTGTGAGATCTAATGGAGATGAATAATGAAGCTTTTAATGGACTTGCTGAAGCAGCTGCTGTCTGTCTCTCTGTCAGTTCAATGAGAAAGCGTACGCCGTGGTGCCGTGCTTCACAACGCTGGTCCAAGCCAACATAAAAAACAAGAAGATCTTCAAAGAGGCTGTGATGAACATGCAAGCGAAGGGGACGACAGACTACAAGACCGGCTTTCAGTTTGCCTTTGACCAGCTGTTAAATGTAAGACTCACACGCTCATGTTTACCTACTGTAGTTATCTACATGAAGATACACTGGAATTTTGTATTCAAGTCCTTAAATAAAGTTAATAATAATGACTACAGACTAGCCCTAACCTACAGAAGTCCTAAGAGGTCATGAATTATTTGTTCCGTTTGTTTTCTTGTGATGTTAAATTAATTCTCTTTAATTTGAAGTGCTCGATCACCGACTGACAAGTAAGTATACATGCACTACTGTCAAAAGTTTGGGGTTGGTGCAATTTTTTTATGTTGTTAAAAGAAGTTTCTTTCGCTCACCAAGGCTGCATTTATTTGATCAAAAATATAGTAAAAACAGTAATATTGTGAAATATTATTACAATTTAAAATAACTGGTTTTTATTTGAAAATATATTTTGAATGTAATTTATTCCTGTGATGCAAAGTAGAATTTTGATACATTTTCTTAACAATTTCTTGAGGAATAGTTCAAAAGAACATCATTTGTTTGAAATGGAAATCTTTTGTAATATTATAAATATCTTTACTGCCACTTTTGATCAACTTAATGCATCCTTGCTGAATAAAATTGCTCATGTCTTTCCAAACATTTTGAAATTATGAACTCCAGAAATAGATAGACTGAGAAATAAATGAGAAAATAGTTTAGTCTCAATCTCGAGAAAGCAACTCTTTTTTTTTTACAGTCTTATGGCTTGCATACTAACTCAAATGATAACTAAAACTATAGATATATATTTTTAGAATATAAAAAACATGATTTACTAAAGCTATGAATCATTTTACCTTTGAGAAGATCCCTGGATGTTCCCAAAGAGAGTTTTTATTTATTTTTTGCTAAATTTAGCTGGATTTGGCTTAGTTAAATTTGTTAATGCCAAAACATCCTCTTACCAACTCGGCGGAAAATTGTATTGCTCAGATGTTGCTTTTTCAAAGCTTTCAGAGATTTAACAGAGTTCTCAGTTATATTTAATTTAAGTGTCAGCTTTTTCTCATATTTCTGAGCAATAAAATCAGACAAATGAGTCGATAGTGGACATTCAGTAAGCCTTAAAGGCCCTGTTTACACTTGGTCTTAAGATGCATTTTGGTCAATTGGATCACAAGTGGACAATGGAGACACATGCCCGTTTACACCTGGCATTTTAATCTGTCTCTTCTGTCCACTTTCGACCACTTCTGACCAGATTACCCACCGTGGTGCCGATTACGTCAAGAGAAGGATAAATGGGCGGATCCCTCTGTCGCCATCAAAACATGAGTGGGAGGGCTAAAGTTATCGCGCACTAATATTACATCTGCTTGTACTTACTGCTACTTACAACGTCTCTTGTCCCAAAATGCAAGATGATTTTAAATATAATGAGGTGCTTAACTGGGTCAGAGTGGGGCGCTAGCAGAAGAGCCTTATAGAGATGTATATGTTGCTTTAATAAGACCAGTAGATAGATATAATATGAGATAGAATATGGAAGTATAGTGTATAGATCAGCATTGAAAACATCATTAAAGATACTAGAAGTTATACAAAATGAGTGCTGTCAAACGATTAATCGCGATTAATTGCATCCCAAATAAAAAAAAATTAGTTTACATATTATATGTATGTGTACTGTGTATATTTATTATGTATATATAAATACACACACATACAGTATATATTTTGAAAATATTTACACGTATATACATTTATATATTTATATTCTTATATTTTATATTATATATAAATATATTTAATATATAAACATAACATTTTTCTTAAATATATACATGCATGTGTTTGTATTTATATATACATAATAAATATATACAGTGTGCACATATATTATGTAAACAAAACTTTTATTTTGGATGTGATTAATCGCGATTAATCGTTTGACAGCACTATACAAAAAAATCAAGCACTGAGAATTTGTTGTGGGGCCATAAGGACCTCTCCAGCTTGTGCGATTCAAGTGAAGATGGGTGAGTTACCTCTAAAATTAAGATTTAAACAGTTCATGATTGAAGTATTAAAGAAAGAACTTCTGATCATCTAACAGTGTTTACAGTTGAGATGTTAGCTATCTTAATGGGATTACAGTGGGTAGAACAAAATAAAATTATCAAGGTTGTAATATGTTCAGATAGCTTATCAACATTGATGTCTCTACAGTCTTTATAATCTTATAACAGACCTGATATTGTTTATGAAATATATGAAACTTTATTCAGACTTCAGCATATAAAAACAGAAATCAGACTTATGTGGATTCCAGCTCATAGGGGGATTGAGGGGAATGAAGCCGCAGACGCGTTGGCTAAGCAAGCTTTGAAACATGATAGAATTATGGAAGTAGCTTTTAGTAAAGCTGAAAGTAAAGCAAAAATAAGGAATAATATTATGAAGGCCTGGCAAAAACAATGGGATGAGGGGAAGAAAGGACATCATTTATACAATATTGCGCAAGAAGTAGGGAGAATGAAATCAACAGGAAGATATACAAGAGAACATATCATTATTTTGAGGTTGAGATTGGGGCATACTGGATTGAATAAAACAATGCAGTTATTGAAAAAGCATCCATCAGGTATGTGTGATTGTGGAATGGAAGAAGAATCAGCGGAACGTGATTAGTCAAGGTGTCAAATACGAAACTCAAAGGATAAAATTAAAAGATGAATTAAAGAAGTATGGGGTGAACATATTAAATCTTAAAAATCTATTTGAAGTTGAAGATCAGATACATGAAGCTTTGTTAAATTTTTTGAAAGAAACCGGTTTAATGAAAATAATTTTACCTGCTAGGGTTTTTTTTTTGTCCTCTTAAGAATTATACATTTCTGGTCCACACTCCAGCACACTAGGTAAGCGGTCTTTTGTGGCTGCTCGAACGCATTCGACCACATGCGTTTTCAACTGTCTCTGGAAGTGGTCAAAAGTGGACGAGCTCAGAACGTTTTAGACCCCGTTTACATCTGTATTTAGCATTGTCCACTTGTGATCCGATCGACCAAAACGCATCTTAATACCAAGTGTAAACAGGGCCAAAATTATAAATACAGAAGAAATATAGCCATGCAGAAGTGTGTTGATGGTGTGTACAATGTTGTGAGATATGTTATTGGCCACATGTGTGGCTTCATCACATGCATTTTAGTTTTGGCCGACTGCTGCTCGAACAGATCGTGATGGTGTGATTGATGAGATACAGACGAATCTGTATTCTCTTCCGACCGAAGACACTCGTTCTTTCTGACTTCCTCTTTCACTGTCGCTCTCAGATCTGCAAGCGCCAAGGCATTTTAATTTCTGCCCGCTGACTCCTGATGAAGGCTGAGAAGAGAGCGCTGTAAATTTGTAATTGTGGCAGTATTATTTATCTTTATTAGAATCTTGTCAGAGTGATGTGGCGTAGGCCGAATGTCAATGACAGCTGTGATTGGGCAGGGTAGGGAGAGGGGACTTTTGGCTAACTCATCAGTGATAGGACAGTCGGCGGCAGCTGGCACAAAAGCAGACATATGATTAGAGGAACAGACGTGCCCGCACACACACACGCACGCTTAAGTGCTCGGACACATGTGCAGTGCTCTGCCAAATGGGACACTGTTATAGCCAAGGTCATTTGTGTAGTGAATTGATTCAAGCAGGCCTAAAACGAATTCTGTGCAAACACTTCATACGCAGATTGGCCACAAACACACTGTGGCTAAATTTGGTTGTCAGTTCACCTTTTAGTGCTTAAAGGTGCGGTATGTAATATTGACAGCTAGCAGTTAAAACGAGTACGCACTGTGGTCCAAATTCAAAATATTGGAAAGAGTTGTTTCTCTCGCCTTCACCTCTTCAGTCTCAACACTCATGCGGGTTGCCAGATTGAGGACACACAACAGGAATAAGCACAAGTGACAATAGGAGTCGACAAGCTTTAGACTGTAAACTGATGAGTTGATTTATCCACAATTGAATATGCCTCTGATCAGTCATAGAGCTTTTTAGACGGAGGCCGGAGCTTTTTAGGGTAGAATCGGTGATCCCTGATCCAGTCCGTTTTTTGGCTTCCACGAATGCAATGTGCTGTGTTTTCCTCCAACTGGCCACCTGGGGTGTCAAAACCCTATTGGGTAAATTGGCAGTAGGCGGAGTCGCACAGTGACATTCCGACACGGAACGCACATTTCAAAACAAAACAACAGGCTGTAGCATGAAACAAGTATGTGAACTTAGCATGTTTTCTAAATATCTGCAAATGTATTATGGTATTTTTATGATTTAGTACAGTCAAAAAATTACATACAGCACCTTTAATCCTGTTCTGTATACACACTGTTCAGTAATATACAGGAGTGACAATTCCAAACGAATTGTCTACCAGTAATAACAATCGCATTTACAGATATTGTACGCAGTGTTTACGGAACCGAACTAAATAGCTAGTTTTTAATTATGTATTTAAATATTTATCAGAGGTTTTTTTTCTGTATGTGCGGTGCAAGAAATCACGAGTACGTTTTGACTCATTCGTGTTGCCAGATCTGGCAAAAAAAAACAGTAAAACTAACAAGAACAAGCCCATAATAAGCTCAAATCCAAATGCATTATCTTGGAAATTAGTCACATGCCAAAATATAGCGAACTGCACCTGCCTATTAATCAATAAACTGGATCGCTTTATGAGACAAGCCCAAAGACACATAATAAGCAATTTAGAGGATTCACTCCTGTATTTAAATGTGATTGTCACTTTACAGTGTGTATGTGGCCATTATTATTATTAAATGACACGTTGCAAGGATAGTGTAAAGCACAAGGGTTTTCACAAACAAAAGCATCTGTTTATAAAGGCAGATCCAGTGAGTTTCAAACTGACCTGGCTCATTTGACACCCTCCTAACAAATCTTATGCATTCCTGTTTCTGTTTCTCACAGGAGACCAGCGCTCCGAGAGCAAACTGCAATAAGATGATAATGATGTTCACAGACGGTGGCGAGGACCGCGCTCAAGACATCTTTGAGAAATACAACTGGCCAAACAAAACAGTGAGTCGAGGCGATTGAATTCAAAACATGCCGGTGTTTCCATCTGTGTGGTAATGACCTCCAGTGACAAGCAGATTTTCTGTCCTCCCTAAAACTGAAAATAGCACGTGACAACAAAATCACAGTCAATCAGAATATTTTGACGTTTGTAGCTGTGTGGAGCATGATTTCAGACCAAAGAGATAACATCATAAATCTGATGTCATTCCCATATAAAACTTACATTCTAGCACAAAAAAACATGTTTGAAATGATAAAACAATACATATGCTGTTAAATGAGGGTCCAAATGCTTTAAGGGACTCCTCTGTATTTTTAGACCCTTCTGCTACACAGATCTAATAAACCATCTTCTCTCCACAGGTGAGAGTTTTCACGTTCTCAGTGGGGCAGCACAACTATGACGTCACTCCTCTGCAGTGGATCGCCTGTGCCAACAAGGGTAAGAGAGTGAGAATGTAGATTTGGTTCAAAAATCTGAACTTTTCAGCTGTTCAACTACTTCTGTACGTCTCTGTTAGGCACAATTTGAAGTATCATGGCAGGAACACAATGCAACAGCCTAGAGACTGCATATCAGTGTTCTAAAAATGTAAAGAACACATTTCAAAAAACTCAGCCCAACTTAGCAATGTGTTTAAAATGTTAAGTAGACTTTGGCAAACACATAGTAACACACTAGCAACCATCCACAATACTCTAGCTATAGTGGCTAATCTTTAAAACTTCCTTTAGCCCCTTGAGGTTAGCTGGGGGGAGTCTCCCGATACATATGTCCATCAAGCACGCACTGAGATGCGGTTGATGAAAAAAATCATGGTTTATTAATCGCAGCAATCTTTGGTTTACTTTCCAAAAAATACAAACTTCCAAGAACGTGAAAATGCAGTACCATGTGATTGAAGAAACTCTTGCTCTTGCTTTTCTTCAGTAGAACAGTGAAGAGGATTTTTAGCTGAAACAGTGGTCCATTTTTGAGAATAAAAAAAGCATAGCAAGAAACACAAAATTAATACCCGTGGCTCCTAACGATATACAGTATTGTGGTCTTATGAAGTGAAACGATTGGTCTGTGCAAGAAACTGGTCATTATTTACAATATTACAAATGGTCCGGAGTGATGCCGGTTCACAAAAGAATCATTCTTTTGAACTTATTCTTTTTTTTTGTAAACTAGTTGAATCAGTTCACCAAATTGGACTGAACTGTCTGAAACAGCTGAAGCAGCACAGATCTACAAGTTACTCCATCAAAACTCTGAAGACTGAAGACCATGATATGTGCGAAATTAACATTTTTATGGTTTCTCATGGTGAACTGATGAAGACTAGTTTATTCACTTAAAACATGAAAAACATCCACATTTCACATCATTATTAGGTGCTTTAATAATTACGTATACATTTTGTCATTGCGTGATTACGTAAACAAACTACTGAATTGAACCAGTTCATTGAAACAAACTGTCTAAAATTGAACCGGTTTGCAGAAACTGAGGCTCTGGATTAACAGGTAATAATGTTGTAAATAATGTTCAGTTTCTTGCATAGACCGATCGTTTCGCTTCATAAGACCGCAATATATCGTCAGGAGCCACGGGTATTATTTTGTGTTCCTTGATATGTTTTTAGCACAGCCACTGACTTGCATTTTATGAATCACCAATAACCAAGGTTTCAGCTAAAAATCTTTTTACTTTAAAATTAACAGCAAATTTACTTTTTGGGGTGAACTATCTCTTTGAAGCCAAAACTGTCCATTTCCTAAACGCATCCTGGTCAACAGCGCTCAAGTAATGTTGACCTATCTGACCTAACAAGTTAATTCCAGGCCTGTAGCGCAAACACTCTCCCTCTCCAGCTCTCTGATTAGTTAATGACGAACGGTGGCAGAACACTTCAGAGACCCCCGCCGCCCTCCCTTCCTTCTAATTAATTAGCCGAAGAGGAACTGCCGTCGCAGCGATAACCACGTCTGCAACTTCTCGGCGTCTCCAGCCAAAAGCACTTCCACTTAAGGATTAGCCCTCTGTGCGGCCGTGTTCTCCGCTGTAATGACTGGCAGTGAGGGGACGGAGTCTGGCACATCAAGCAAGACGCTTTTCTCAGCGGACTCCATCTCCACTGCAGGCTTTCATTTCGCTCACCGATATCACAAAGCAGCAGAGGAACACCCCTGACACCCTCACAAAGTCCACATCCACTTCCGCGGCTCTCCCTGTGCTGTAGAATGCGTGTTCGACAGCGTATCTGACTGAAAGCATTCGCAGCCGCCGCTAGGTTAGTTCAAAAAGCAACAGTAGCGTGCATACACCACGTTTCCTCTGAACATACGCAGAGCGCTCTTTGGCAGGCTTGTTAAGATGCAGATTGCATCGGATTGTCTGCGTCTTATTGTTTTGTTGTACATGTCGCCCGTGCGGCGGAGACAAATGCATTCAGCATTATGTAATCATGACCAAGTCAAGGGATCAACAATGAGAGACATGTTTGTTTGACACGGCTTAGCGTGTGTTGTCACTCCACCGGCTGTCTCTCAGCGAGCTCGTTCACACTCCGCTGACACAAACAGAGTCTCGTATGGCCGCCGCTGAATCAGAGCCAATTCCTGGTCTCTTTGATTCCCGGTGACTCGCATTGATTTGATTAGATTCTTTCTAGCGTGCTGATTGGTTTGACCCTCAGACATCTATAAAACACTTCTTTTTTTTATGCTCTAATTCTCTTGACTTTGATATGCTTTTAAAGACTTTTAAATTATTTCTGATTCATTAACTGAACTAGATTTGACTTCCTTATCTGCAGTCGTTTTAGGGGCCATCACCTTCTTGAAGAGATGTTACGGGTTCAACACCCATCAAGCTTTATCTAATCTAACATTTGGGACATGATGGCAGTTACCACAGAAAATCATTTTGATTCATCCCTTTGTTTTAGGGGCCAGTTTGAGTATAAACCTATTAAAACAATAAAAAAGTATATTTTGTTTGAAAAGTGAGAGGAAGGGAAAAAAACATTTTAAAAAGGAAAAAAAATCTATTTATTGAATGTGTTGTAAATAATTGCTAAATGTACACTGTATTTATGAATGAATATTTAGTCAAAGAAAAATTCATATCTATTCATATATTTTCAGTTTTGACCACTTTTCTTCAAAATTTTTCATATGCTTAAATAGTACTATTAGTACTATAGGACTATATTACTGTTTGCACATAGAAATTTTTTTAAATTATAAAAATGTTATGTTCACGTAATTGTGATATTGTGTGTGTGGGGGGGGGAACTAATTAACATTATTTGTAAAAAAAAAAAAAAAAAAATATTATTTATTTATTTGTACCTCGGATTTTGGGGACATTATTGACCCATTAAAACAGTATTACCAAAAAAGTATATTTTGTTTGAAACAGTTCGATTAGAGAAATGAAACAAAAATGTTTTATTAAATTCATTTTTATTACATTTGAATACATTTATTTTAAATGTATTAAATGACTATTTATTAAATATTTGTTAATGTGTACAAAGTATTTATTTATCAATGAATATTTATTAAAGGAAAATATTAGTTAAAGAAAAAAAAAAGAATATATTTCTGTTTTGACAAAACATCTAACCATAGTTATTTTTATATACACTGAAAAAAATTATAAACGCAACACTTTTGTTTTTGCCCCCATTTTTCATGAGCTGAACTCAAAGATCTAAGACTTTTTCTATGAACACAAAATGCCTATTTCTCTCAAATATTGTTCACAAATCTGTCTAAATCTGTGTTAGTGAGCACTTCTCCTTTGCCGAGATAATTCATCCACCTCACAGGTGTGGCATATCAAGATGCTGATTAGACAGCATGATTATTGCACAGGTGTGCCTTAGGTTGGCCACAATAAAAGGCCACTCTAAAATGTGCAGTTTTATCACACAGCACAATGACACAGATGTCGCAAGTTTTGAGGGAGCGTGCAATTGGCATGCTGACTGCAGGAATGTCCACCAGAGCTGTTGCCCGTGAATTGAATGATCTTTTCTCTACCATAAGCCGTCTCCAAA